GTTTTGTTGTTCCTTGCATGTGGTACCGCACATTCCCGATCCGCAACTTCCAGTCGCGTTCAGCAATCTTTATGGAAAGTTATATGAACGGGAAAAAAATGGTCGCCAAACCTCATCCCGCGTCCACCCGGCACTTGAGCAATTTAATGGCATCACCCCAGTTAACCAAAAATATTGACGTTTTTTTACAACATTTACCTTATTTGATTTAAGAATCCTGGTGCCGTTATGTATCCTTAGAAATTGCCTCTCACTTAATAACATGACATCATCGCATCTACGGATCATATATATGTATATATATATATATATATATATATATATATATATATATATATATATATATTCATATTTATACATATATATCATGTTGCCTATGTATATCTTGTTATATTTTTGCTAGATCTTTTCGCTCATACACGCACCATGATAGAGAACGGCATTTTGTGCTTTCGATGGCTTCCTGCTAATTTTTTCTATTTTTCTATCTGGTATATTAAAAAGTAGCTCACCCAGAGGCATGTGTCATCTTCTGATTTATTTTTTATTTAACGTTTTGATTCCATCCTATATCCATCGTCAAAAACAAACCTTCACTCCTCATCCCATGTGGCCAACTGACATTAAAAATGGGAACACAAAACACGAGCATGTAAACAACACGGATCTCCTCGCGGGATTGTAGTCACCTCCGTCACCACCTGGCAAAAACAGCTCATCCCCTAGCAGTGCAGAAAACATCATTAACATCACAGACTGCGACCTGCACAATCAACACAACCAATCACAACACTGCATGCCGATGACCTAACCTAACCTCGCGTGGTTTTCTCAGTGCCGTGTTTCCCAGATGTGATTTTCTAGCGTTATTGCTCCAGAGAGATAATTCAAAAGTTGTATGAATTTGTTTGTTTAGCACTGGTACCTGGTCATAAATAAGTGGAGCTTTCAGAATTTCGAGCTTTCTGGTGTCGTTTGTAGATGTTAAAGTTACAATGTTCCGTGTGAGCATTAAACGCGTGCGACGGATACTGCGATTCGTCGCATGTGGTCTGTTGGTGCCCTTTCCGTGAGGTGCGTTGTGAGGTGTCGTTACAAAGACGCTGTTACACCAACGTAGGGTACGGAACGAAGCCTGCAATCTTCGTTGGGACAAAAGAATGCATGGTGCTTTGGTGGCTTTAACACCTCTATCTCGGTTGGCTTGTTTTTCGTAATGAAATCTCTACTTGTGCGATTTTTGTGAAATATTTGCAATCTAAGCATATTCCCGTCTACCCAGGCGACTTTTTGACACCTAAGTCTTGAATACCTTCTCGTCTAAACCTCAACATTCTCCGCGTATCAGTGCTAAACAAACAAACGCATCACACATCTGCATTTTCTATCTGGGGCACCATCGCCAACATATCGCACAGGCAAGGAACATGACACTGATGGATCCACGCGGGAATTAAATCATCGGTATGCAGTGTTGTGATTAGTTCTGCTGATTGTGTAGGTCACAGTTAGGTTAGGTTAGGTGTGTGTAGGCCACGATTTGCGATGTGTTGGCCACGGTGTGTGTGTAATATCATAAGAAGTTCGCCTTTTTGATTTATGCTCGCGTTTTGTGTTTTGATTTTTAAAGAGAGTGCACCAACTTTTTTGCATTTTCCACCTGTTGTTAAATCAGACGCATACGATTTGATCAGTGATACCAGTTTTCTCGAAATCTTTCTGAATAGCTCAGAATTTTGATTTTAAGTAGCCAGTCCTGCGGGAGAATTATCATGCGACTCCCTGCTGACCACCATGAACATCATACAGTTGATTTGCCGTGCCTTTTCCAATGTGTGTTCCGTAATATTTGAAACACATTGATAAACCCACATGTATATCTAATAAATGCTGCGAAAGCTGGAAGCCTTCTGTTCAGGCAAAACTATATACAACATAAAACCATTTTCCCGAGATTTTAACCACCCGTTATACTTTGGCTTCATTTCTTCCCTATGGAGTTGACCAAAGTGGCTCTTTTCGAGGCGCACTTTGGCTTCGAGAACGGGAATATCTATAGTTACGTACAGGTTGAAGCTTCAACCGATGCGCTTCTCGGTAACAGACCTTTGCCGCCCGCTGTGTCAATCACAACTGTTGTTTTATTCGCGCCAGTGGAAGTGCCACCGTGATTGTCAGGACGACAGCTACCGCGACTGCAGAGAGGAAGAGTCACGCCGCAATGAATCGCTGACAGCATAATCTGGACTTTAAAATAACACAGCTCATGTTCTTATTACGTCTTGATGGTGCTGCAGTGGCACCAACCAGTGTTTTATTAGATGCAACTGGTCTTGAGGCTTCACTGGAGAATGTTTTTTTTTTTTAAATACGCCACACAGGTGGGACAATCCCTTTAATGCAACAGTTGCTGACATCAGATGAAAAACTAGTTTCGGCTTTGGAGAATGGATACAGGACGTATCCGAAACGTTACACTATAAATGTATCAGAAGATGCACATGCCTCATGGTGAACTACCTTTTAATCTACCAGACGATATAGATTGCCGTCGGTGAAGTGGTTAGCGCGTCTGCATTAATCACCACACGTCTAAGAAACCAGAGATAGTGGGTTCAATTCCTCGCGGTGCCCGTTCTTCCTGTCAGGGTGAGAGGCAAGCGATGCCACATAGCCTCAGCAGCTACGTGTTTCGCAAAGTCCCCACGCCAACTACTAAGCGACGTGAAAATTAAAAGCTTTCGGGTTTGCGAGACGTATCTGGTCAAGAAAGCCATACGAAAGTTAATGCTTGCTGATTGAATTTCATGGTGATATTTTTATGTGGTGGGCATGCCGACCTTTAGTTGGTCTGCACCTGGTTGAAGTCGCAACCTTCTCTAGCCAGTTACACAGGTGAGATCAGTTGGCATCCGCCCAGGGAAACGCCAAACATTGATCACCGGCGCAGTACCGACACCACGGCCAGATAAGCCAAGAAAGTTCAACTGTGTTTCGCAAAGTTCAACGTGTTTCGCAAAGTCCCCGCGCCAACTACTAAGCGACGTGAAAATTAAAAGCTTTCGGGTTTGCAAGACGTATCTGGTCAAGAAAGCCATACGAAAGTTAATGCTTGCTGATTGAATTTCATGGTGATATTTTTATGTGGTGGGCATGCCGACCTTTAGTTGGTCTGCACCTGGTTGAAGTCGCAACCTTCTCTAGCCAGTTACACAGGTGAGATCAGTTGGCATCCGCCCAGGGAAACGCCAAACATTGATCACCGGCGCAGTACCGACACCACGGCCAGATAAGCCAAGAAAGTTCAACTGTGTTTCGGACTTCTGCGTTGCATTCTCAACGCGAGATTGTCGTGCTTGGAGCCAAAGAAGCTCTGTCGTATATTAAGGAACGGCTTGAACGACACCCGATGTCCGCCCGTGCAACAAGAAATAACTGCTCACCGTACTAGAAGTGTGTGGTGTCCTCATCTGGTATCCTCATCTGGTGTCCTCATTGGTGTCCTACTTTATTACCATTTTGGAAAGCTAAATGTTCCAATCTGGTTAGTCTGCCGTCCATGAAAATGTAAACATTTTCATCAGGCGCGTATAATACGATGCATTTTGTGCACATATTCGAACGTAGCTGCTCGCTTAAGGCGTAGCAGTCTACGCCGGATCAACGAAGAGGTCCTCACTGAAACAAAAGTATTCCTTATCGGAGAAGATGCCCAATACTTGGCACAGAGACTTCAGCTCAGTTTATCACGCCCTAGGTAAACTGGGGCGAAAAGCCGCCTTCGGTGCTGGGTTCCCTGAACGACGCGGACCCCCCACCTTGTCTCATTGGGGACTCTTTCACCGTGCGTTCTGATATCTCCTGCCATTGCCAGAGGACCCTGCGCGGCTCAGAAACTTTGACACTCTGCTCTCCGTCCCCGTCCCTGTTCAGTAATATGCCTTTCGCTGATCCGAGCGCTCTTGCCGCAGGACTCCCTGTTAATCAATGATGGGCGTCTCAGTGCGGTCCTCATAGTTTCAGGGCCCCGAGCAACGTAAAACCGCGGGCCCCGGCCTTGTCCCTGCTTGGGAAATGGATCTCAGGGCCCAGGCAGCCACGCGGCCAACTGCTCGGTGTTGGTAGTCTCTGACAGACACGGAGGCCCGCATTGCCCCAGAGGCATCCGACCGGCACAAAAGCCGGGCCTGCGGTCCGGAGCCCCTGAAATTGACTTCAGGCCAGCCCTTCAGGGCCTTGGGACGCTCCCCCATCGGTTCATTGATCGCCGCACCAGGGGCGGGAGGAGCTGTCCTGCTCCCGCGCCTTCATCGCCTGCGCCCTGGGCGTCGGTTTATGTGCAGTTATCCCCTGCTGCTTAATGCAAGATGTTTTTCATGACAGCACGTGTGCCGTATTATCACGAAATTGACGCACCATATAGAGCAAAATAGCCATGTATATATGCTTTTTCGTGATGTCTATGTTTCTCAGAGCTGTTTCCATCATACCTCAATTCGCTGACGCCACAGCCATGTTGCCGAAAGCTGAATTGGCCCAGTTTGCCGGTGCTATTTTAAAGCCGTCCATAAATTTCAAACACCCAACAATCAAACTGAATCCTTGCTAAGCAATACGTGGGCAGGAAAGAATCGCTTTTTCAACCCAAACGGCTGGTTAAACTGAGGTGTCAGGGCCTTCCATGCTCGATTCACTCTGTATATATCCGGCGAGCTAAAAAAAGGCGACGGGGATATAACGCTGCGTCAGACAGCAGGGCCACTCCATCTCAGTCCTTGCATGGATGCTCCCTTCCCTACGAATGGAACGAAATGTGCGTTGTGGCTGGTGCTTACTTTTTTTCATTTTGCAATGTCATGCAGCTTTGACCTTTGACCTAATAATCATATACTAGGCATACGTATATATATATATATATATATATATATATATATATATATATATATATATATATATATATATTTATTGATATATGTATAATGCATTGCATGTGGCTATATTACACATTGCATAATGCGATGCACACGTCAGCGGCGAAATCGCTTTAACTGTGACGACCACAGCGCTGATCAAAGCGAATCATAACAATAGTTTCTCATTGAATGCTGATGCTGCAGCCATGTACCGGTACGTTTCGGAGTCTTGCCTATCGGATCAGTGAACATGAGCTGATCGCCGTCTGCTCTTGATGCCACGCTTCACAGACTTAGGCGACTTCCGGGGCACCAGTGCTCATGACGTACACCACTTATGTTAGCAGCTTTGATCGCGCCGCCAGACATAGCTTCTGTTAACAACGGATGTCCATCCAAATCCGACATCTTTACGAATGCGGGTCACGGATTCTCCAACAGAAAGCTTTGCGGCATGTATAAATCCTCCAAATTTCGGGTGCAAGGGTCGTTGGTGGTCCGGCGATCGCCCTGATATCCCGCGCCACTGCGACTGCCCCAAGTGGCGTTTGTCTTACCAAGACCATCTCTCAGCGGTGTCTCCAATCATGCCCAGAGGGCCTCTGGGAGGGGGGAGGGCAGAGGGCCTCCACTCGCTCCCGGTACGGCCACCGTTGCGCTCTGAGCTCCGGGCTCCGGACTCTGCCAAAGCTCCAGTAACTCTCTGCCGAGAGGAGCGGCGCTCACTCGTCGCAGTCCGGCTGCTGCTCCGGCGGCGTCTCCAGCGTGCCGTACTCCTTCTCCAGCCTCGTCACACCAACGACCAGCACCAGCACGCCTCCCAGGATCATGGACGAGCCGATGGCGAAAAACTGGCTGCCATAGTCCCCCGTGCGGTCCACGATCACACCTGCGGCCGACGGCACGCGATCAGCACATGCGAGGGGTAGACGATCACGGATGTCTGAGACGTTAAGCGACCTCAAACAGAATTCACGGAAACCGGATTTCTTTTAGAACGCACGTAACTTCACGGGAATTCAGCCGTTTGGTGAATCTCACTTGACGGGGGACGGGGAGCACAGGACGGTGCAGGACAAAATTGCATGTACAAGGCGATCCAGGAAAACTTAATTGCCACGAAAAGTTGGCATCGGTGCCAGTGAGGAGCCTAGGAGCCTAGGAGCCAGTGAAACCCAGCGGAATCCAGATGCAGAAAAAGATCAGTCCCGGAGTCAAGGGCGCAGCCAGTCTTGATAAGGGGATGGGGGCACTAGGCTGGTTAAAGGTCTGCAAATGATGAAAGCCCCCCCCCCCCCTCCATAAAAGAGTTGCCAGATTTAATGCGGTTGGTTTTGAGCGGCGCAATTTTTGTTCATTTTAATTCGTACTTATTTTAACTGGATCGGATGATAGAAGCTACCAGAAGTTGTAATTATATTTCTGTTTGTAAATGAACTAAGGAAAGTAGGTGCTAGACCCAATGAGCAATTATCTAGCACGGTTCAGTTTACAATGGGACAACAGAGTCCCTCTAAACCGAAAGACCTCAGAGGCTTTGCCATGATCGACCCGGGTTGTACAGAAATATTGAAAACTCCATGAACGTAGATTGTAGAACGAAATGGGGTCAAAATATTGTATTGGCATGGCTATCCCATGTTCGTCTTGGAGTGTTCAGACTTAAGTAAGAAGCGATTAGTAAACAAAAATGTGGCCTCGTTTTGAATTTGTGCGCCCGCAAGCCTCAGAAAGTAAATCTCGTTGCACAGCATTGCAGTCTCCATAGGTCAGGCGGCGTCGGCTCAGCGGCTAGCCGAGCTGGTGGCCGATGGCCAGACGCAAATGAAGGCGTGTCAGGAGGGAGTGCCCTTTTTCGCTTTAGGACATCAATTCGTACGCTTAGACGGAAGTCTACGCGTGTTTTTCGACTATACAAACTTAAGATTAATAACAGGAACGGACTAACATTTACAGCACCACGACCTGGTGGTGGAATTTGGGGTGGAACTGGAAGAGTTCCACCACCAAAGCAGATCTATTTTCGTTCTACTGCGATTGCTAGTCCGTTTGGTGGACAAAATACCTCCTCGACCTCAAATATCAACCTCAAGATCATACAAGTGGAAAATACGCTTCAATCTGACCCTTGAACGGTACGCCCTCAGTGGCACAAAGATCCCTCACGTCAGCAGAGGGTTTAATAATTTGCACAAAAACTCAAGTCCGCCCTAACGGACTCCTGACTGAAATGGCGTGGAAGTCCTCCCTTCAGTACTGGAGGCTTTGACTCACACAGGCCCATCCATTCTCTCATTGAGAACCCATGAGCTATCAAATCGTCTTTTAATGCCAGAGGGCCCCGCGACCAAAGCAAGAGGCCTTCTGGCATTCATATGGCATCTGTTCAGTGAATGTTTTTTTGGTCGACTCGAGCCTCTCACCAACAAATGGCCCCTGCCAGTATCTGTAGGCCCCTGGTCGACACATGAACCGCTCATTTTTCGGGGTCCCGTATAAATCTCGGGCTTCAACCTTCTCCAGGCTTAGGAAATGGGTTCCAAGCCCCAAACCGGCACGGAACAGACTATGCGACTCTGGTAGTGTCTGACTGACGTAGAGGCCCTCATCAACTCTTGCCTCATCTCAATAAGCGAAAACGGCCCTATTATGGGTCCCGGCTCGCATACGCGCCTGCCCGGTGTAGATAGCAAAAACCAACAGCGCCTGAGACAGGCGACTGGGCAATTTTCAGCGTGTCTTAACGCTAATTGACCGCGAGTAAGCTAGTTACCCACTTGGTGAAGACCGCCACCTCTTTTAGATCAGGCATGGGACCAACAGGCGGTCAAAGGACACCATGGTGTTTACTAAATTGTGGTGATGGTTTGGGTACTCCGGTGGCCAAGTGCCTAAGGGGCTGCAGCACCATCAGCGCGCCGCTGAGCAATTATCAATGGCGGCATCTTCCGACGTCTTGAAAGAGCACACACCCAAATACAGGTCAAGACTGAAAACGACCGGAATGGAAATAGACATCAAGTACACCCATGAGCTCATGTTCACTTTGAACTTCGACGGCCAAAGGCTTCGTTGTCGAGCACGGAGCGGTTTGGACCTTAAACGATCCAGGAATCCTGAGGAGACTTATGTGCCGCAGAGTGGATCAGATCATGACATGGTCCAAATCACGATCTCTGTTTTCAGGAATAAGGTCTCCAGCAGCGAATGACACAAAGATTGTGCAATGAAAGGCCCATGGAAGGCCGTTGTAAGGTATGTCGGTTGCTTCATCCTGCGTGCTCGCGATACTCCGCTTGTCCGGAGCAGCTTCATCCTGCGTGCTCGCACTACTCCGCTCGTCCGGAGCAGGCTGCAGGCGTCAGTCTTGAGTAGGCCGAGAGACCCGTGAGAAGGGCACGCCGAACGGGTGCTCAGCGTACACGCGCGAGTTAGAGCTTGGTGGGTGCCCGTTACCCACTTTCGTTCATTCCATAGCCCTGAAATGATCATTTCTGGTAGAACGGGCTCTAATCTAAACAAGCAGCCAAACCGTGGGGCTTTGAGTCCGTATGTGGTCAATAGGTTGAAAATCCTGAAGGAAGGTGACAGATTTCATAAGAAAAATGCGAGTGAGGTTTTGAACGTTAAAAGTTACGTTGCAGAACAGGCTTAGAAAACAACTTTGCTTAAATGATGTGCTAGTGAGTGATAATGATAGCGCATGACACTGACAATATAGGGTTGCTTGTGCAGTGGCGCCCGTGCTGCAATGGCGCCCGTGCTGCAATGGCGCCCGCGCGCCCGTGCGCCAACTCAGCAACTCAGAGGGCACTATCTAGTCATATGTTTTCAAACATAGCATTAGGAAAGCACTCTTCCTTCTTTGATCATCATCGGTAGAAAATCCCTGCAGTTAACCTTGAGAGGGAGGAGGGAGGCAACAGTTGGGGGGAAGGGGGTCGCCCCACCCCACCTCTCCCTCATAGGTACAAGCAGCGACGGCCCTGTTCCCACGACTACGCACCGCACGCAGACTGCCGTGCGACCGAGAACCACCGGGTCGCCAGAGCCGGCAGCGGCGTCTCACCGAAGACGGGGGGCATGGCGAGCGTGGAGAGGCCGTGGAACATGCGCACCAGGCCGTAGGTGGAAGCGATCCTGTCGATGCCGTGGTGGTCGGCCAACACGGGTGCCAGGTTGACGAACCAGGTGCCGATGCCGACTGAGTACACGATGAACAGCGCCAGGATGGCCGCGTAGCTCTGGACGAATGGCAGCGCCAGCACCGACACGCCGCCCAGCAGCTGGCTGGAACGGCACGCGCAGGGTCAGCGTCCGAGGTCACACGGCACCCAGACCCGGGCGGTCACGACGCGTGGGAACTGACCTGTGGCCACCCCTGCCGCAGGCAACGGATGCTTGGTTTGGATGGGAAAAGGCCCCATTTGCTCGACGAGTGGACGTGCCAGGACGGCGAACAGGTTTGTCCCCACGCATTTGCTCAGTCTCCCCAGTCAGGCGGTTATTAACGGCTTTACATTCAAATAAGCCCAGAACGTCAGAGGTGAGCTTCATAGCTTCAGATGCTCCGTGCACTCGCTCGTGCTCCGAACATTTATGAGATCTCTGAGGTCAGGGGTCACCCGCGTCATCACGCCCCGCGTGGAGTCCAGGACGACAGCCGTCATCGCCCTGTTAACGTGTTGCAATGTTTGTCAGCGTTTCAGCGCGACATCATAGAGTTCAGCTGTCCGCTCGTAGATATGCACCCTGCAGCAGCTGAGCACAGCGGTGTCAAGGCCTGGCCGCTCGTAACGGTAACCCCAGTCGTTGTTTTTGTGGGTCTGTCAGTGGCAGCCGCGGACCGCGACACGGAGGCACGCGGCGCGCGGGTACGCCCCGACGTCCGCTGAGGGCTCAAATACGGCGGAAACAGATATAACTCTCAGCTAACAACGCAAAAGCAAACGGGAAATGTGCAGTTGCTCTGCCAGTTACACTGCTCTGCTGGTCGTTCCCTGTCGGCACCTTTGCACAAACCTGTCGGCACTTACAAAACAGGCGACATCTGCCTAGTACGACGCTCCTGGTGGCAGTACCACAAACACGCGCTCAAACTTTGATCTCTAGCCGCGCCTTTCGCCATGGGCGCTGCTCTTTTGCGTCGTGCCTGAGCATCAGCTTCTTGCAAATGTCAACGATGGGAATGTGTGCGCTAAGAAATAGTACTGGAATACGCGGTGACAAGAGACAAAAAAAAAACACACATTTAACTCAAGATAAAAATGACAAATTTCTAGATTCCAAGGACTACCGACGAGATGTTTCCGAAGAATCGGTGTTACAGAGCAACAAGGCTCAGTTGATCATCCGTTTGTCCTCTAATCAAATGAGGTCCCGCAGTAAAAGTACTTCGCTCGTAATTCCTGTAAAAACTCCCCCAAACTATGTCGTTAATGACTAAAAACGATTCTAATGGCATCAAGTGCTTTGTTTCATTTCATTCGCACACAGGCATAAGCACGCTGATTTGTACTTAACATAAAGTCAGCTGAAGTGAAACAAAGACGACTTCCGACGTACACTTCACAATGCGCATGTATCGTCGTTTTCGTTTCGTCACCTGTCATTGCACCGTACTTGCGACCGCCACGAATCGGTTCACGAACCTGTTGAGTGCAGAGTTCGGGTTCGGGATGGGCTATGTCTATCCATGAACGGAAGCATCACAGCCTCCACTGGACTGACCACAGGTATGTCAAGAAGCAAACAAAGCTCCCACCATCTTGAGCTCATCTGACCGGGGGCTGCTGCTGCTGTGGACGGCCATCGGCAGTCTCCGTTTTACCAGATGTTGCCACATGGACACAGTTTTAAAGGCACCAGTATTCGGCACCTGCCGATGGTCTGCTCGTGGCCCCAAACGTGGCTGGCTTTAGACAGAGCAAGACGAAGCAAACACAACACGAGGCACCGCTCATCCGACACTTGCTCAAGCTAAAACAGAAACCTGCGCAGAGCTGCTGTTGCATTATCTACCGTATCTGCTAGCTTAGATTAATCATTAGCATAACTTTCAATGTTATTTATGCCGAGAAAATGATCTCAATGACTGGATACGTAGGCGTAGGAACGTTCCAAAAGGTGTGGGAGGGGGGGGGGGGCCGGCAAGCTCAGGGCGTACCTGAGGAACGTTTCCTAGAAAACAAGCCCGACGACCGGGGGAGGGGAGGGGGGGGGGGGATGGGGTAGAGATGGAGGTTATCGCTCTTTATTGTAATGACTGCTATTCTAGATATGCATCTAGAGCTGTTTCTCACTGGTGCACACTCTTGCCTATCCAAGTCATCTATGTCATTCGAGAAATAAGGCTTTCCAGCTTCCCAAAGCAATTCGTCCATTTCAACGTTGTGTGCCCTGGGTAGCCGAAATTCCACTAGCGGGTAGGCATTTTGGGTCATTGAGGGGGCGTCTGTCTCCACAGGGCAGATGCCAAAATATGGCTTGAGCATAGGCTGGTGAGAATTTTGGAAGTGAATCGATGGCTCACAGAACAGCAGGTTTTGCACGCGCTTTCATTTTGTTGGCTGGTTTTCAAGAGGTTAGACTTGTCGCGGCATTTTAAGCTGAAAAAAATTCGGGAGCTTGAAACTGCCACAAACCATGTGACAAAAGGCATAGAACTGGAGATTCTCCTTTGAAAACAAAGTCACAGAATGAAGACCATTCTGTCACATATTCCTCGTCTGAGCTCTGCTCCCGCCCGCCGTCGGTGGCCATTGTCCTGGCCCGGCTGTCTCCGAATGACTGACCGCGAACTAATGGTATGGCTGCTTTGTTGCACATTTCTGGATCAGCATTGCTACTAATTTTTGGACACCTGCAACAGTACATTTTTTCCGAATTATCTTCCCTAACACCACACGAGCCCAGAAAAACGCCGCCGGGAAGCTGTCTGCTTCAGGTATGAACTGCCTCAGCAGACATTTAATTGCCCATCATTCAACGTAGACGACTTGATCTGTTTTGTGTGTAGGCGGGGGGGGGGGGGGGGGTAGCCAGAGCCTTGCTAAGAGGAGCAAAGGGTTGACAAAGCCCCCTTTATGGTGATCCCCCCCCCCTACAAAAGGATTTCCCCGGATACAGTTTGCATGTTAACGAGGGATACGGTTTTCTTCGTTTCATTGTTATTTTTACGTTGTAACGAGAACGGAAACCAGCAGCTACCGTGAAACCAATTCTGTTTACATTTTTAACACGCTCCCGGGTGGCCGGCTAGATACCCTTTGCTCGGGTGGGGGTCAATTTAACCCCACTGAAATCTCGGGACCTAAGAGAGCTAGAGACACAAAATTCACAGGGTGTGTTGACCTGTACGTGAACTCACTTAGGTATAAGTTTAGGGCTTCTAGGTCATGACTTTTGGGTCCAATAAGGTCAAACAAGGTATAATTCCAGGTTTTTCTCCAAAGTGTCCCCGGAACCTAGATAGCTATTTGTAAGCAAAAGGCCACATGTTCATTTAAGGTCAGTGACCTTGTTTGACCTTTTGAAGGTCATGGTGACCAAAGTCATACAAGACTGCTCTGAGTTTTGCATTTCAATAAACGGCAAATATTACGCTAGTCAGTATGTTTCTAAAAACAAAATGCTGACCTAGGTCGTTTTAGATCATTGACCTATTCTGACCTCTAAGAAGTCCATGGAAGATACCTAATGCGGTCTCTTCTATCAATAAATTCGAAATGAACACCAGAAACTATCTCATACAGCAAGCCTTAGAGTAATAAAACAGGTTGGTTTTGACCTTGGTCTGACCTCTGTACCTGACCTTAGGTCAGCGCGATTTACTCATGCAATATTTGTGTTGCCTAAGAAAGCTTCTCAGAGACGTATGGCTTCGTCTAACACTC